CTTTGATTTGTATTTGATTTGTATTGTCTGCAGAGCACAGTAATGGGAACAGCAATAAAATGAGATATGCCTGCATTTTTAAGCTTAGAAATGATTCTCTGATTCATAATCTATTAAAAAAACTTTAATGGGTAAAAATATTGGATAAGTTTTCATTTTTAAAAAACATATTTTGCAATCCATGCCTCATTACAAGAATAATTTTATCACCAGGAAATACTGCTTCCAATTATTGCCCAATCTAGACAGGTATAACATTTCACTGTTTTCTGTAATGCTGAAGATAAATAATTTACTTTCATAAACATTAGAAGTGATTCATAATTTATGCAATGCTAAAGATGTAATTAAAATTTTCTATTGAAGCAAATATAACAAAAATTTCAAAAAACTTATGTTTACCATGAAGACACGTGTTTATTTCAACCAATGTTTTAATTTTAGGATCTTCGCTGATAAGATCACAGCCCTCTGTACTATTAATTTGCAAAGGAACCCAGCAGTGCAGTATGAGTATGAGGCAAAAACAAACGAAAAACCCCACAAAATCATGAATCTTAGAAATATGCTAGAATTAATGCAAAGTGGCAGATCAAAGCAGGTGAGAAATTTCAGCATAAGACTTCATAATTATTCTGTTACTTGATATTTTTCTTGACAAAATACAAATAAACAAATTCTTGATTTAATTTTATTTTAAAATCTGGGTTTTAAAAATATAGACCAACAGTATAAGTAGTTTCATAATCTAAAATTACAAGGCCAAACACATTAATTATCTTTCAAAAGAATGAGGTTAAAGAAGGTAAACGGGTCAAGTGCGCTGTCTGAAAGCATGAGACAACTGTAAATTCTCTCAAGCGGTGATGAAAGGAAACAAAGAGGTGTCACTGTCCACACACCTGAAGCAATGCTACAATTCTCCTCAAATAGGGTCAAGACACCATAATCTGATAGGATTCTAATAATCTGATAGGACTCTAATAGGACTGTATCTGATAGGACTCTAATAATCCCTTCTGCATTTAACTATCTTCTTGTTCCTAAACAATTTTGCCATCCTAGTAATAAATGTCACCTCTGGGCCTATATTTAGTAACAGAAAAGAGATGTTTCAGTAACATCTTGAAACAATTCATAACATTAGAATTAATTTTTTCTTAAATCCTGAAAAGTTTAGCATCTGAATGCAAGTGCTGGGAGTCCAAACCATGTAACCTCATAGCATCTGAGATGAAATTTATAGATGAATGTAAAAATCCTAAATCCTCTTATCTAATAGTGACTGTCCATAGAGATAACCATGTCTGAAAGACTTTTTCAATCCTCTATGTTAACTTTCCTTTACTGTGCCCTGAGGGTGATGGGAGTGTATTCTATTGCCTAGATGAGCTGGGGTAGCAGAGGGAAAAATTACTGTACCAAGAGATAAATGTCATCATCTTCTTGGATGTTCTTGGACTATGTGCATTTTTTTAAAGCTTACTCTAAGAGTTATATCCCCAGAAAACAAGGCTTTAACTACATTTCAACAACTGAATTACTTGTTCGAACCAACAACCACTGTAGGCATAAGATAGAGAGCAGGGTTTAAAAGAACAATCTTAATCATATTATAAAATATTCACTTATTTTGTTACATATGAAAAACATTCTTGTTTTCAGGAAAAACTACGACTTTTCCAAATTTTGACTGCCTTTAATGTAACACTACATGTCAATGGCATTTTGCATCATTAATTCAAATAGGTTCAGAAATATCCTGCACAGAACCATGATAATGTTCTGATCTTTTCTTGAAAAATGAGAGAAGATGTCTATAGTAATTCTGAGAAGCATATTTTCTAAAAATTTCACACAGAGATGGAATATTATATGGTTCTTAAACTGTGCTCAGTGGAGCCCCAGACTCTTGCTCATGGACCAGGATGAGGGCAAGGTGGAGGCTGAGTGGAGAGTCAACTTCTCCCCATCCCCTCTAATCTTTAACTAGAGCAGCTTGACTGTTACCTGTTACATACATTATGAATCAGGCAATATTTTGTTTGGAAAATGGGTTCTGCTCTAAAAGAGGGAGAGGGTGATGGAGAGATCTGAAAGCCACCCAGTTTAAAATTCACTATCTTATAAAGGTAAGTCCAATATTATGGTCTACATAAAAAATAGATTCCAATCACATTAAAAAAGATTACAGAATCAACATGTGTCATTTAAAATAGCTAAGGAAGAAACCCAAATGGATGAACCCTAGGGTGACATACTAGCAAGTTCTGTGGTCTGACATGCTGAAACCTGCCTTGCTAGGGTGGTTTTAATAGTAGTCACCCACAGCTCCTATTGAATACTAACTCCAGCTGGTTTTAAGAAAGAATGGAAGCTCAGACAAATGAAGACATGATATCACTCTGGCTCTAGATATGTTAAAAACTCTACAGTTTTGAAATGATCAGGGTTGGAAAAAACATTTTTCAGAACAACAGCCAGCTCTCAGTCGCAGAGACCCCTCCTTGTCACTGAGCCTATTCCTGTGCCTTCCCCTAAAAAGACATCTGCTCTTCTTTAACTGGTGAAATAATATTTTGAGGCTCATTTTAAAAGTTACCACCTCTCTGAAAGTTACCTTTGGATCAGGTTTGAGGATCACTCTTTCAGGTTCTTTCAGATTTCCTTAAGGAATTTGTTTCGACCATGACACTCAGAGGGACACGGCCAAGTGTTCCTTATTTGCTTGTGCATCGCTGATAAGTAACATCAATTAACCATCTAATAAAAGCTAATTAAGTGAATAAATTAATGAAACTACAGTTTCTGGGATAGGAATGGATTAGGAAACCAGTCCTAATTTGGAACAAGCTGGCTGAACAGTCTCTTCACTTTTCTGGATCTCAGATTTTTCAATAAACTCAGACACCAGTGCTTATCATAAACTAAAGAGAAATCATCTATAAATTCCTCTTTCCATTTATTTTAGGTAAGAGGTAATCTTAAGGGAGGCTTCTGTATTTGTAAACTAAAAAATCAAACATATATGTTATGGATTCCTCAGGCAAGTTAAATTTCAATGTGACTCATGATCTCCACCTACTGGAAAAGGTTGAACATCTATTCCATTTAAAAGATGGAAGTCACAAGGCTTTTAATAACAGGTATTTAATGCACGCAACCACTACCATCGCTACCACCATCATTGTTTAACTTACAAAATCTAATCTAATCTATAAACTCTAGGACATTCAGATTAATAATGTTAGGCACTTTAAATATTCAACTCCAGAACAGAAACAAAATTTAACGATTAGAATCTATTTTCAAATATTTTGTTGTCACTTATTATATATTAATTCTATCTCATTACCATGGGGGGAAAGGCTACATTATATTCAAGCCATGTAGAAAAGGAGGAAAAGGGAAAAAAATAATTTCCAAACAAAGTTATTTTTAATTTTTTTACTTTTCAAAAGAAGATAAAAAGCAAAAGATTAAAAATCAATGCCATTAGTGCTTTAAGACAACGTGACTTTGGTTGGAGAGATTGAAAGAGATTATAATCATGGCCTCATAAATAAAATATTATTTTATTTCACCACACAATACCCCAAGGCATAATCATATAAAAGAATGTTAGGAAAAAAAGAGAGAGAATTGATTCAATAACTTGATTGATAACAAGCCCTTTGCTGTATATGCACGTCTAAAATTGAGGAGGGGGTATCAAGTTGGAAGGTACCATACATGCTATCACAAGACTTCTGAGAAATAATATTAAATATAAGGGAGGTATAAGAAACAAACGAGCTCCTAAGGTGAGGAGAGAGAACAATATCTTGGAGTCACATATGGCAAATGTATACAATACAGAAAACCACCTGCAGTTGAAGCATGACATTCCCCAGTATTATATAGAGGGGAGGGCATGTGGAAAGTGGAAGCGGGAAAAGTCCAGGGAGTTGTCAGTGGTGCCGGCTGCCTTTCAAGACAGGAAGTACCAGGAATACTTGTTTGAGAGAAGGGAAGGAGAAAAAAAATGTTGACTTTTATTCATCTGAAAGTAAGATCAAGTAAACTGTAGCTAAAAGATAAGCTTGATTCTATGCAGGACAAACGTGAGTACAATTGAAGGAATTATGTAGTTAGAAAGTTATTTAATGGAAAGTTAAAGGTTAGTATGAAGATACTTGAGTGGCTAAGAGCATAAACTTTGGAGCCAGAGTGAGAATTCTGGCTAGCCTTCTTATGAGCTGTGTAACCTCAGCCAAATTACTTAACTTCTCTGTTACCTTGATTTCTTCATATGTAAAACTGAGATAATTAATAGTATCTACCTTAAAGGTGTATTGTGAAAATTAAATAAATTAACAGATTCAAATGCTACAAACACCTGGCACACAGTAAGTACTATGCGAAAATGTTCACTATTCTTAATTAAAGAATGAAGATTTCTTGCTACTAATACAGCATCAATCATAGTGTATTTATCACTTTGGGGCTGAATTGCTTTGGCTTCTCAGATAGTAAAATGAGAATGTTTATAGTTGTAACAAAAATGATGGATGTATATAAGTGAAAATGACACATTAGCAACAGTCACATAAGTTGTATATTTCTTATTTTGTTTTGTATTACATATCATACATCTTTACTTGTATACACATGCATGTGTATGTAACTTGTGTGCATGTGCACCTGTTTGTGAGTGTGGAGGGGGCATGTGTATCTTCAGTGATACAGAAGCAATAGAATACATGGACAAAGAGATTGCTAGATCAGCCTAACTTTGATCCAAAATTGTGACAAGAGTAAAAATCTAGGCAAAGTCATTCCAGAGATTTTTCAACAAAAACTTTAACTGGTATGAAGATTTTTAAATGCTTAGACCCAAGGTAATTCAATAGTAAGTAGCATGTCTAGATAGTTTGATTTTTATTTTATTGGCTCCATGAGTAAAGAACTGAAGTTTTCTGAAACACATTTCTATAAGAGCAAAATAGTCTTCCACATACCTTTTCAATTAACTCATAACTCTCTTCAAGTTTGAGCAGCCTGTTCTGCACAGATGTAGATGCACGCTGATAGACTGCTCGCCACTCCTGAAAGTCGCTCTCTGAAATCTCAGCCACAGCAAAACATAAAGTTCTTAACCCTGAAAAAAGGTAGCATACACCCCCCCAACACCAAATAAAATTTTATTCAGAAGTCTGACACTTCCATTTTTATTTAACAAAGTCTCATTTCGAAAACATTAATTTAATTGAAACAATATGTTAAAGTCCTGTTAAAGTATGACAAAACTTTAGTGTAAAACATATATTAATGTTCCCCTAGCCTTTAAAATTGGCACCCTGCTTCTAGTTCTCAGCTCTTTCAATTTATCCTCCATGCCTAGAGTGACTTTTTAAAAATCCTAATTTTATCAGGTTATGCCTCTGCTTGAAATCTTTCATTCGTTCCCCAGGATGACGTTCAAATCCCCAAGTCTGGCTCATTCATCATATATCAATTGTCTTCAACCTCATTCTCTGTCATTCACTTCCTATATATCAGAGTCTTTGCACATGCTGGTCACTTTTTCTCCATTCCACCCTCTACAACTCCTCTTCTCTGTCTGCTTTAAATCTACTTTAAGGCTCACTTCTTAAAATCATCTCTTTGAAGCATCCTCCTCTCACCAGACCCCACAGGCAGAAATCTCCAAACACTGCTGTGGTGTGAATGACGATGTTTCAAATATTGTTTTTCTTGCGGATCTCCTATATTAGCTTAAATACGGAGAATAGGGACCTGGAGTTCTTCATATCTGTCCCTGGAGAATAGGGACCTGGAGTTCTTCATATCTGTTACTCCAGTACAGAGCACAGTGGCGTCATAGATGCTTTCAAAGAAAGGGCCAGAGAGACAATTCTTCTTACTGGGATATATGGCTGTATTTATTATTGCTCTTTACCACCATAAATCTGTAGGTATGAAGAATCTTAAAGATATTGAGGAATAGTGACCCCCCAAAATACCCATCAGGAACACCCTGAGGCAAACAATCGAAGTTGATGTTTGAGGTAACCTGCTCCCAGTGGTCGCTGCCTATCAATTGCACAACTCACTTGGAGGTTATCCTCAGCCAGAAAAAAGTTGATGGGTTGTAACAAGGAAGAGGCAAAATTGTCAGTCATGGCAATTTCAAATAATTAAGTTCCCAAGAAGACAATGCTCTCACTCAAGGTCACTTAACTCTCAGAATAACTAGATGCTAGTGATCTCAAGTCAAATAAAATATGGGCTGGGAACATGTCAGAAACAAGAAGCAACCAATACCGAATATAAAGTGCCCAGAGGACTCTATCTTTCAAGAAAGCCGTAGGATTGGAGGAGAGGGGAAGATGGCGGACTAGGTAAAAGCAGGGTTCACATCCTCCCAGGTCCACATTGAAATTACAACCAAATTATAAAATAATCAATGTGGAAAATCGCCTGAAGTCCAGCTGATTGAAACACCTACATCTGACAATATAAAGGAGCCGCATCGAAGCCACTGGAGAGGCAAAGTCACGAATTGGGCTGGACACACACCGTGGGTGGTGGAGGATCACCAGGAGGAAGAGCAAGGCTGCAGAGGCTTCCCTGAAGGAGAGGGGGCTCCTAGCCTCATTCGGAGGCTCCCCAGCCCAGGGTCTCATGAAGAGGAGATTCCAATAACTCTGACTGTAAAAACCATCTGGCCATCTGGACATCTGGGTGAGACAGAAGGAGACTGAAACCCTAGATGCCCCTTTGAAGGACCCACGCTCAGGCTTTCTGACCTGCAGACACTTATCCGGGACACTGGAGGTGGAGGTCAGAGGCTCCAGTGGGATTTATACTGAGTAAGTCTGTATTACCTGGCACCAGAATGAGGGCTGGAAGGGCAGCCACCATTGTGCCTTAGTCCAGCCTGCCTACAAGCAATTATATGCCAACAAATTGGATAATCTGGAAGAAATGGACACATTCCTAGAAACACATAATCTCTCAAGACTGAGTCAAGAAGAAACAGAAATCTGAATCAACCGATTACCACCAATGAAATAGAATGAGTAATCAAAAACATCCCAAAAAACAAAAGTCCTGGACCAGATGGCTTCATAGGTGAATTTTACCAAACATTCAAAGAAGAATTAATACCTATTCATCTCAAACTATTCCAAAAAATTCAAGAAGAGGAAAGGCTCCTTAACTCCTTTTATGAAGTCACCATTACCTTGATTCCAAAACCAGACAAAGACATTACAAAAAAAGAAAACTATAGGCTGATATCTCTTATGAACATTGATGTAAAAATCCTCAACAAAATATCAGCAAACTGAATTCAGCAGTACATTAAAAATATAATACACCATGATCAAGTTGGATTTATTCCTAGGATACAAGGTTGGTACAATCTCCACAAATCAACTGATGTCATATACCACATTAACAAGTTGAAAGATAAAAATCATATGATCATATCAATAGATGCAGAAAAAGCATTCAACAAAATCCAGCATCCATTTATGATAAAAACTCTCAGCAAAGTAGGAATAGAGGGAACATACCTCAACATAATAAAGGCCATATATAACAAACCTACAGCTAATATCATACTCACTGGGGAAATGCTAAAAGCATTTTCCTTAAGATCAGGAACAAGACAAGGATGCCCACTTTCAACACTCCTCTTCAACATTGTATTGGAAGTCTTAGCCACAGCGATAAGACAAGAAAGAGAAATAAAAGGTATCCCAATTGGAAAGGAAGAATTAAAACTCTATTTGCCGATGACATGATACTATATATAGAGTACCCTAAAGATTCCACCAAAAAACTGTTAGAACTAATCAATGAATTCAGTAAAGTAGCAGGAGACAAAATTAATATTCAGAAGTCAGTGGCATTTTTATACACTAATGATGAACTTTTAGAAAGAGATGTTAAGAAAAACAATCCCATTTACAATTGCATCAAAAACTATAAAATATCTAGGAATCAAATTAACCAAGGAGGTAAAAGACCTGTTCTCAGAAAATTATAAGTCATTGAAAAAAGAAACTGAAGAAGATACAAATAAATGGAAGCATATACTCTGCTCATAGGTAGGAAGAATCAACATTGTTAAAATGGCCATAACTACCCAAAGCAATCTATAGAGTCAGTGCAATCCCTATCAAAATACTAATGGCATTTTTCAGAGAGTTAGAACAAATAATCCTAAAATTTATATAGAACCGTAAAAGACTCCGATTAGCCAAGGCAATCTTGAGAAAGAAGAACAAAGTTGGAGGTATCACGCTACCTGATATCAAACTATAATACAAGGCTACAGTAATCAAAACGGCATGGTACTGTCATTAAAATAGATACATTGATCAATAGAACAGAATAGAGAGCCCAGAAATAAATCCATGCCTATACGCTCACTTAATATATGACAAAGGAGGTAAGAATATACAACTGGGTAAAGACAGTCTCTTCGATAAATGGTGCTGAGAAAATTGGACAGATAAATGCAAAAAAAAAGAAAAGAAAAAAAAAAGAAAGAAAGGAAGAAAGAAAGAAAGAAACAAAGGAACTGGACCACCTTCTTACACTGTGTACAAGAATAGACTCAAAATGGATTAAAGACTTAAATGTAAGACCTGAAACCATAAAACTTCTAGAAGAAAACATAGGCAGTAAACTCTCTGATATTACTAACAGTAATTTCTTTTCAGATATATTTCCCCGGGCAAAGGAGACAAACAAAAAAATAAACAAATGGGACTAATCAAACTAAAAAGTTTTTGTACAGCAAAGGAAACCATCAACAAAACAAAAAGACAACCAACTGATTGGGAGAAGATATTCGCTAATGATACATCTGATAAGAAGTTAATATCCAAAATATCAAGAATTCATACAACACAACAAAAAAACAAACAATCCAATTAAAAAATGGGTAGAAGACCTGAACAGATACTTCTCCAAAGAGGAAATACAGATGGCCAATAAACATGAAAAAATGCTCAAGGTCACTAATCATCAGAGAAATGCAAATTAAAACCACAATGAGATACCATCACCTGATACCTGTCAGAATGGCTATCATCAATAAATCAAAGAACTAGTGTTGGCAAGGATGTGGCGAAAAGGGAACCTTTCTACATTGTTGGGGGGATTGAAGACTGGTACTGCTGCTATGGCAAACAGTCTGGAGGTTTCTCAAAAAATTAAAAACAGATGTATCTTTTGACCCAGCACTTCTGGGTATTTATCTAAAGAAAACTAAAATAATAATTTGTAAAGATCTATGCACCCCAATATTCATGGCAGCACAATTTACAATAGCCAAGACATGGAAGCAACCTAAATGCCCATCAACAGACAAGTGAATAAAGAAGTTATGGTTCATATACACAATGGAATATTACTCAGCCATTAAAAAAATGAAATACTACCATTTGCAACGACATGGATGAACCTAGAGGTTATTATGCTGAGTGAAATAAGTCAGACAGAGAAAGATAAGTACCATATGATTTCACTTATATGCAGAATCTAAGGAATAAAAAGAACAAACTAATCAAAAACTAACTCACAAATATAGAGGACATATGGTGACAGAGGAAATGTGCAGTGAAGGGGCTGGGAGAATGGAGCGAAGGATTAAAAAAGTACAAATTAGTAGTTGATAGATGGTCATGGGGATGGGAAGCATGGCGTAGGGAATGCAGTTAGCATTAATATATTGGCTAGGTGGAAAACCAGAGGAGAGAAGGAGCAATTAGAGGGATCATTTTATAAACTATATAAATGTCCAACCAATGTACTTCATATTTGAAACTAATTAAAAAAAATAAAAAAAAAAAAGTAGAGTTGTCAGTTGCTAGACCACTAAGAGAAGAACTTAAAATATTTGGAGCCATATTAGAACATATTTTTCTCTTTTGGAAACTTGGCTGGAAACTTATTCCAGGGTAGCCATGGAGTAGAAGCGTTGTTCAGACCAGGGCCAGAAAGAATGGGGTGGAGGTGGAGGCCATGCCAGTTTGAATCTGTCTAGGAGCTGGAATGTATTTAACATCACAACCAGAGAGGAAAATGCTCCACTAATTAAGAGCCTGCACTAATGCTGGGTCGGTTACACCTGCCAAGCCAGGCTGAGGATGCACCTTTAAGAACCTGAACGCTGGACACGTGTCTCAGGAGAACTGGGGGAAGGTTCTTGCTGTGCTTGCTTTTCAAAGCCTTGTGCTTTGAAACATTCCTTTCTTTTTGCAGCTTGGATTAAGAGGAGAAAGGATTTGATCAGAGGTCAGGCTTGGTGCCTTTCGCAATAGTTCTACACAAGAAGACAAGAGTGAAAACTCAGATGGGAGATTTAGATACAGTTCTGGCCACTTTTATTATGTTTAAGAGATAACTCTCTATAAATTATTATAGTAACTGACCCTAATTTTAACAGCTTTCACTTCCTTTCACCTACTCTAGATCACCTCCATGGACTATATACACTGTTTTGTCATACAGATCATGTATTTCAGTAGAACAGGGACAGGACTAAGTATGTTTACCACAGATTCTCAGGCCTCACACAGAGCCTGGCATGTGTAAGGGCTTAATAAAAAGTCTTGAGTTGAAACTAAACTGAATAACTATTTTAACAGTTATATAGATTTATTTCTCCTCTTCTTATTCAGATTAGAATACCTAGTTCCTTGCCTCTTGTTTCTTTCCTTCTGCATGACTTGATACAAAGTATTTAAACCATAAATAGTATCCATTCTAAAAAGTGAACAGATTTATAGGCCCTATACCCCCTAAAACGGGGGGGGACAAAGTCTCTTAAAATTTTCATAAATACAGGAAAGCAAAATAAAAAACATGGGTGGGAACAACATATAATATAATGTAAACTATCAACATTAATTGTTACCTTGCTTTACGAATCTCTGAGTAAAATACCGTAAGATACATCAGTCTATTTCTTTTTATTTTAATCATGCTTCATTTCCACATTATACTCACCTTCTGTAGCAAACTGCTCTAAATGTTTTAGGGTAATTTCTTTGTATTTTGAAGTCTCCGCCAGTCGATCATAAATTACAGTGTCCTGGAAAACAAACATAAGGTATAATACACTTAAACTATGCATTCTGAGTGTAGCAAAGTTGATGTTGGCAACATTAGTAGCAGCAAATCAATATAAAAACAATCACTTTTAGAACTGGTTTTAAAGCATAACGACACCATTTCCCTAAAGACACTAAGGAATAAGGTTCTAGTTCTATATTTTCGTCTTTTTCTTTTCTGAATAAATCTGTAGTTACTCCAACGTTCAAAATCTCATATTTTATCAACACTTCACCTCTCCCATGGTGCGAGGTCTCTCCTCTACCCCTGAAGTTTGTGCAGAACACTGTGGTGTTCAGAGGTGCTACATGGAAGAATGGTCCAGAACTCAAAAAGTTTGAGTGATGCTGGACTGAATAAAGCTGAAGAGCTTGCCCTACTGTAATACTTCTTAGAGGCTTTAAAATGTTAATGTGCACAGTGGGTCCTTTAATGAGGTGATATAGATTTGCCCCAAACTTATTCACTAGTGTACCTTTTTGGGGTTAGGGCATCATTATGGGACTAGTGCTGACAAAAGAACAAATTCTGAGAGACATAGGTCTAAATCTACTGAGGGCTGGTGGGTATAGTAGAGAGACTCTTGCACAAACCTGGTATTGCCTTAGAGCTGAATATTTCTGATTGTGTCATATTAGCTTTAAGACTCACTTTACTTAATCTGTAAAATCTAATTACTGGATTATCTTTAAAGTCATTTTTAGCTTTAGCTTTATGCACTACTTATGTTTCTCTAATTTTGCCCCTTTATAAACTGCCTATTGTTCCTTCAGTCATTCTTTGGCTTGGGTTTCATGTTTTAAGAATTTTAGTATTCAGCCTTTGCAGTTTTATTAGACCAAGAAAAAATAAATCACGTACCTGCAATTATCTTCTCAGTGGTATTACCCATGTTGGGGTCTCAAGTCTCAGGGCTGAGATTTGGAAGCAGCCTAATGGACTATGATTTAGAACCCTTGAGAGAAACAGAACTTAGTGACCTCGGAACAGATGGAATATTCCAGGCCTTAATTATGAATTTCTTTTCATTTTTCAGTGGTGGAATGGGAAGGGGAGCAAAGCAAAAGGAAATGATAATTTCCCCTCATGGCACTTTTCTGAGAATGAAGGGTACAACTTATGAATTCTATTTTTTCAAGAGGCTAACAAAATTTTCAATAAAATTAAAATAGGCCATCTTAAAACTAATTTTTAAAAATATATTTTAAAAAATTGAAATCATGAAAACAAAAGTGATGAAAAGGCTAGCGAGATAAAATTCTGTCAACCATTCTTATGGAAGAAACTGATGCTCAGAATAGGATAATTTTCTACCTTCTTTATTATATCAAGGAAAGCAGGGGACTGAATGTGCTTTTCTGCACGAATTGCATAGTGTTTTAAAATGACAATCACAATTGGTCGTGCTTAAATTGAGAAATAAATACATACAGATACCTTCTCACCCAAAATAACACTCATTTATTCAGAGGTCTGTACATCAAATATTTGGTATAGTATTATGGACTATAAGAGGTCCTTCACAGGAACTAAAGCATCCCCTAGGACCAGATTTAGAACCTACTGAGTTTATATTTACAAGAAATCCTAGATGGATTTACTTATATGGTGTCCTAGCCCTTGGCAAGGTCAAAGTGGAAAATCTTGGTGAAGAGATGCTGCTGGAGTGGCATGGCACAGTCAAATGACAATTACTTATTTAAAGAGCCTAGGGCTTCATGATGAAAAATTTTAGGTGAATTTTCATTCAAAAATTTGTTTTTCTATTCATCTTTTAGACTGAAGTTTTGATGCTGCTCTATCCTTACTTACAGTGCCTTGCACATATCAGGTGTTCAAAAGTGTGTTAGTGAAATAAAATATTTAAAGTAATCCTTAATCATCCTGAAATTTCACTTGTATGGAATACCACATTATACAATATTCTCAAATAAAAAAAGACTATACAATAAAGTGCAAGAGTCAACAATAAGAAGGTAGCAAGTAAAAAAAAAAGAGGTCTTACATAATTACTTATTTAAGCACTATAAATACTGAAGTTATCTAGATGATCCTGCTATAAATTAGCCAATTACTGTCAAAGAATCTGATCTTCTCGTCAGGTTAACAACAAGCTAAGTGTGACCTGCTGCAAAAAGCTTGGCTCTTTAGAACTGGAATGTTTGCTGAAGACATTAGACACATCTATATTTAAATATAGACAAACATTTTCTGGATTTACATGTACAATTCAGAACTATCTGTACTTTGCCACTGATGTGGTGGTGAACTGTTAAAAATAACTCATTTCAGATGTGGTCATTTTACATATGGCACAGAATTTTATTTAGGGGGCATTTAATTTGAAATTTTCAGTCACTTTAAGGTTCTTACAACATTAAGTATATTAGTCAAGCTTTTAATTTCTTCTCTGGGATATAAGTATTAGAGTAGGATTTTTACTTTATTATATTTTTTATTTGTGTAAATGTAACTTTTCCCAAATTATTTTCTATTGCAGATATAAGTTGTGTATTGCATACTTTCTTTTTCATTTAAAAATTAGCAAAGACAATCTCACTGCAGAAAATCTAGAAAAAGGCCAGAAAAATAAGTCATCCATAAACACAGACACACAGACACACAGCTCATCTACATGAACTCTTCAGTACTATCTTCCAATTCACTAACTTCACTCCCACCTCTTCAACTCTGTCTAATCTAGAGTTCATTCCATTTACTGCTGTTTTTTCTTAAATTTATTAATGATTTCTAATTTATCTTACAGTTATCCCCATTCTTTCCTCCTTCCAACTCCTTTTTCATTAAAAATAACTAATTTCAACTGCTGATCAAGATGGTGGAGTAGATAAATGTGTGCATGTATCCTCTCAGAACCACACCAAAATTACAACTAAACTACAGAATAGTCATCACTGGGAGTTGCCTAAAGTCTAGCTGAACAGAAGTCCTACAACTGGGGACACACAGAAGAGGCCACTTCGAGACCGGTAAGAGGGACAGAGACATGAAATGGCTGTGGAGGTTCCCCCAGAGGTGCGAGGGGTCCTGGCCTCACTGGGTTCCCCAGCCCAGGGTTCTAGTGCCAGGAAATGAAGTCTCCACAACCTCTGGCTGTGGAAACCAAAAGAGACTGTGACTGGGTGAGACAAAGGGCTGAGAGAGTCACAGACATTCCTCTTAAAGGGCCTGCATGTGGACTTGCCACTGACAGACTCGCTTGCTTTGAGCTCCATTGCTGGGGTAGCAGCTCGAAAGGTGCCATGAACAAATGGGGAGGAACTGAGTTATTTGGCTTCAGAGTGAGGGCTGGAAGGGCAGCCTTCTCTCAGACAGAAGTGCTGGCAGAGGCCATTGTTCCTTTCTTGAGCCCTTCCCCATCCAGCTTGTAGACCCAGGCGTGTGCCATACCGGAGTCTCTATGAATGTATTGGGAGGAGCAGTTTTCCTGCCCCTCCCAATATGTGGGCCCACCCAAGTCACTTGCAGTGGATTTTTCATATAAATGGCCTGTCTTGGCTCATGCTACAGACTTTCCTAAAATCTCTCAAAGGTTCACAACACCTAAACAAGTAGCAGCTGGCCTCAGCATGCCCTGTATCTCTTGCCGAACAGCCCTAAGCCTGGCACTAGCGGCAGCCAGCCTTGATTTGTGGCTTGGCCTCTCAAGGCACTCCCAAGCCAAGCGTGGGTGGTGGCCATCTGCGGATTGGTTGGTGGCTCATGCTAGTGGCCCCAGGCAAGAAACGGGCTGCAGCTGAACTTGGCCCATGGCAGGATCCCTCCCAGGAGGCCTTGGCTCACAGGCCTGGTGGCCAGCTTTGGTCTGAGCCAGAGCACCACCCAAGATCACAACTGAGGACTACATACCCAAACGGTAGACAAAGCAGGCACCAGAGCCCTGCTTGGGTGAATCCTGCTTTGTGGGGCCAGCCCCTATACAACAGCTCCTCTACTGGTCATGGACAATCATTACAACCAATTAGCGCAAGGGTAAATCCCTCTACAACCCACAGAACAGACACACCTAGAGTATTGGCTCTGGTGGCCAGGGAAGACTGTGCCAATGGAACCCACTGCACAACTACTACATAAGGCCACTCAACTAAGACTGGGAGATGTAGCAGCCCTACCTAATATAGAGAAACAAACACAAGTATGCAGCCAAAATAAGAAGACAAATAAATATGTCCTAAATGAAAGAACAGAACAAAGGTCCAGAAAAAGAATTAAACAAAATGGAGACAGGCAATCTATCGGTTGCAGAATTCCACACACTTATTATAAGGATGTTCAATGAACTCAGGGGAGGTGTAGATGAATTCAGTGAGAACTTTAAAAGAGATAGAAAACATAAAAGTGGAGATAGGAAACATAAAAAAGAACTAGTCAGAAGTGAAGACTACAATAACTAAAATAAAGAATACCTTAGGAGGAATTAGCAGTAGATTGGATGAAGCAGAGGATTGAATCAGTAATTTAGAAGATAAAGTAGCAGAAAACAACCAATCAGAACATCAAGAAGAAAAAAGAATCCAAAATGTTAGGATAGTTTAAGGGACCTCTGGGACAACATCAAGCTTACCAATATTCACACCATAGAGATACCAGAAGGAGAAGAGAGAGAGCAAAGAACTGAAAACTATTTTAAGGAATAATGACCGAAAATTTTCCTAATCTGATGAAAGAAAGAGATATACAAGCCCAGGGAGAACAGGGAGTCCCAAACAAGATGAACTCAAAGAGGTCCACACCAAGACACATCATCATTAAAATGCCAAAGGTTAAATACAAAGAGAGAATCTTAAAGGCATAAAAAGCAGTTAGCTACCTACAAGGGAACTCCCATAAGACTGTCAGCTGATTTCTTAAAGGCAACTTTGCAGGCCAGAAGGGCTTGGAACGAAATATTCAAAATGATGAAAAGCAAGGACCTACAACCAAGATTACTCTATCCAGCAAAACTATCATTCAGTATTAAAGGAAAGATAAAGTGCTTTCCAGACAAGGAAAAGCTAAAGGGGTTCTTCATCACCAAGCCAGTATCACAGGAAATGTTAGAGAGACTTAAGAAGAAAAAAGAAACAAAGATCAAAAACATGAATAATAAAATAGCAATAACTACATATCTAGCAACAATTACTTTAAATGTAAATGAATTAAATGCTCTGATCAAAAGAAAGAATGGCTGAATGGGTAATAGGACCATTGCATATGCTGCCTGCAAGAGACTCACTTCAGATCGAAAGACACACACAGACTGAAAGTAAAGGAATGAAAAAAGATGTTTTATGAAAATGGAAAAGAAAACAAACAAACAAACCTGGGGTAGCAATACTTATACCAGACAAAATAGACTTTAAAACAAAGGCTTAATGAGAGACAAGTAAGGACCCAGTATTCCCACTTCTGGGCATTTATCTGTAGAAACCTAAAACACTACTTTGAAGCGACATGTGAATTCATATGTTCACTGCAGCACTGTTTATGGTAGCCAAGATATGGAAGCATCCTGGGTGTCCGTCAGTGGATGAATGGATAAAGTAGTAGTATATTTATACAATGGAATATTGCTCAGCCATAAAGAAGAATGAAATCTTGCCATCTGCAACAACATGGATGGACAAAAAGGTATTGTGCTGAGTGGAGTAAGTCAGACAGAGAAAGACAAATGTCATATGTGGAATCTAGAGAACAGGATAAACAAACAAACAAACAAACAGAAACAAGCTCACAGACAAAGCATTTTGATGGCTGTCAGATTGGGGATGGGGGAATAGGTGAAGAGGGGAGGGGATTAAGAGGTACGAATTGGTAGTTAGAAAATAGTCAGGGGATATAGAGTATAGCATGGGGAATATAGTCAGTAGTGTTGTAATAACTATGTATGGTGTCAGATATGTACTGCATTTAACAGGGTGATCACTGATTATTTCATAAGTTATATAAACATCTAATCACTGTTGCATACGTGAAACTAATATAATACTGTATGTCACCTATAATAAAGTAAAAATATAAAATTAAAAAAAACTAATTTATCATGTTGAGTTCTAAACATCCTTTGTTAGACTGGTCTACACAGATAATTTCACCTGGAGTGAATGTTCCAGTTGTTTATGTGCTTGTTATCTGTTTGGCATGAGATTTTCTCATGTGTGTCTCGATTTTGCTTTTATTTTCTCCCTCTTTGCCTGCATCCCAATCTAGTGGGATTTTATACTCTCCCGTAGAGACTAGCAAGAGCTTTGCTTAACCTTATCTCATGACTAGGAGGCACACCGCTGTCTTAGGCTTCAAAGAGGGAAGGCTGGACTCCCATCTGCATTTTACAGAAAGCACGTTTTGCTCCAATGGCCCCACAGATCTCCAGCCACTCCTCCTTGACACCAAACCCAACCTACTCAGCTCAAGACTTCATTTCAATGTACCTCTTTGATTTTCTAATCCTATTTTGGTCTGCACAGATGTTTATCTTGCTTTTGAGCCTGGTTTTTATCTTTTTGTTTTGTCTTTGTACTATATCCATCACTGCTACAATCTTGGATAGAGGAGATACATCAAACTATGAACAGACTATGCTACCTTGACTGGCAAGTACTACTGATAACTTCTTAATTGACTTTTATTACTAAAGTATTTGGCTGCACTCGTCAGTATTGATTATTCACTCTACCAAGGAATCAATAGACTCCTCAGACTGTCCTCCAAATTTCAGTGTTCCCTCTTGGATGTTTTACTTTTCACCTTTAGGTCTCCTATCTTCTCATGTAATATTTCTTCATGTGAGATCTCATCAATCCCTTGCTTTTAGCTTGGAGCTATACTTGTTAACTTCTACACATGTATCAGCATCCCACAATCTCTCCCTGTGAAATCCAAGTATTTCTGCCTTGTGGCCCAGATGTAGCTCCCAACCCTCTGTTTTAGTAAGTTGTATCACTTAGTAAACTCAATTAGCCAAGTGGAAAACCAATAATAATCCTAGATGATCTTTTTCTTCCTCACCCACATGCAATCAATTACTAAGTCCTAAATCTCTGTTCTCTTAATCCTCCCTGCAACTGTCTTGGTTCAGATCCTCATCAATGCTTATTTGGACTACTGTCAATAGTATCAACTGGTAACTCTGTATGCATCTCTTTCCTGCCTTCATTCATCTTCTGAAATGGCATCAGAATAATCCAGAAAAAAGTATAAATTCGTGAGCATGAAAAAAACCCATGACCTAACCCATGTCCATCTTTCTAGGCCTGCATTCTGTTATTACCTGCCAAGTTACATGCAGGTCTCAAATGTACCTTGCTGTTTTATATGTTTATACCTTTTCAGTATTTAACTACATTTCACAGACAGTTTGGGAATGGGGAAAAGCAATGCAATAAGCAAGTTAATGTATACAAACTAGCTCTGCGATTATTCAAAAAGGAAGTCAAATGTTTTTATTTTTATTTCATGTTTTAACTCCCCAGTTTCTAGGTAGAAGATTACTCAAAACTAAGAAAGATAGAATGTGAGCTGGGTAAACTAGACACATATCAACTATGTAAAGTGGGAGGTTTTAAAGGCTCTCTTTATTCCCTTATTCCCTGAATGTTACAATTGAGACATGGAACATCTTTACAATATACCTTAATATTGTATCTTAATCTTTTTATTAACATTTCCCTGATTAGTCTTAAATTCATAATAAGTCTTAGGTCTTATCTTCTTATTTACAAAATTCAGTTCAAAGTCTGGTAGATAAAATGCACACAATGAATAAATGTCAATTGTTTGAATCGACAACCAAAATAATTCTAAAGCTAAATTCATGAAACATCACAAAATAATCTCCAAATGCTTTAAAACCAAGGCATTTAAAAATTGCATTTTAATACTTTAAAACCAAGGTGATGAGAAACATTCTCAACAGAAATTAAATAATAAACTTGGGTTTCTCAAAAAGTTCAGTTTCCAAGTTCCACATGACAAAGCAAGGCTGTTGATTATATTGAAAATTGCAAAGTTCCACGTTGGCAAGCTACTTGACTAGTCCAAGTAGACTAGGTACTTGGAAAAGATAATTTTGAAGGAGAATACTGACTAAACAAAAACAACAAAAAAAAGGCCCTGATCAGTAGATTTCTTATTTTTCCATGAGTGAAAGCATATTTCAACTAGGAAAATTCAGTTAGTATAACATATTACTGTTTCTGTCAATATTACTTGCTAATATACTAAAGCTAACCAATAGTTAGAAATTATGTTATAATTAAATCAATATCAAATAGATCATTATATGAAGAAATTATAGCAGTAATTGTGATCAATTCTCTCTCCCCTCCAATTTCTATGGTCTTTAAAAAATTAGATTCAAATTGGTGCAGATCACTACATTTCTAATATGATTTTTAAAATATTTTCTATATTTAAGCGCCTTCTAACTTATTTAATATAAACCTCAAATATTAAGTATCAAAAATTAAATTATACCAGTAACCGAAGCTAAACTTTTTCAAAGCACCAAATTTACCCAGAAGGAATTCCATATTTCACCAGAAAAGGCTGAATATTATTACCATAAAACGCCAACAAAAGTGGATGTCAGCAACTTCATGCTAAACATCTGTGTTACATTTCCATAGCAGAATGCTTAACATATACATTATAAACCGTCATAAATCAAAACTGCAAAAGAAAGACAAAAATAAAAACTTACAGCCCCTTTGCAGTAAAGACGTAACTTCCCAGATGGAGTGCGAACAATCACTGACATTCTTTTTCTAGCACTGAAAGAAAAGGTTTTCCATTATGTGTCATCATCCTGAGTATGTGCATATATATGTTTGTCATGCCTCACATATTTTAATATTCACAATGAAGAAATAAATTTTACCAAATTATGAGTCCTATCCTTCCACATATATAAACTATCCTCTGAGTATACAGTTGGGTACCTTTGAAAGTTACATTATGTTTTTTAAAGCATCAGGGTACCAACTACTGCTCTAGAGGATAATTTACAAAACAGCTCCCTAGAAACCTGCAGGAGTTAGTACCCACCAGGTTAGGGGAGAGTTCTGGTTCAATGAGTTCAAATTTAAAAAACATTTAAGCCAGTATCTTTCAGGATGAATTGTATGTTATAGCTTTTATTAAAAACAGAAATGATAACCAATTTTAAGTACATACCCAATCACATATAAAGGCAAACATTAGCACTTTAAAACTGACTTAAGCATTCAAAACTATTGTTTTTAAATTACTATTAGCAAACCACTGGAACTGTGTAAAAAACCTAATTTATATTACAAAGCTAAGCTAAGGAGCACAAACATTTTAATACTGTGTTGATGATATAAACAGTTTAATAAAAACTGTTAGTCAAACATACAACATCTTTCAAAGCATTAGCAAAGACACAGCAAATAACACTGAGGAGAATGAACTGGTATACCATTGTGTAGGACAGGTCTCGTTTGGAACCTAGCGTGTATAAATATTCTTTCCAGAAATCAGGGGGAAAAAAGACTTCTCAAGAGTCTGTATCTATTTTGCTTTACCTTATAATGTTCTGCTGCTAAAAAATTCAGACGAGTTCAATATTAAGTTGCATTTAGAAATGGTGCCACAGCATATAGCCAAGAGTTATTTCAGAGGTATCTAGACATATTTAGTCCTCTTTCCATCTATAAACTCCATTGTACAGTGATGCTCCACAGAGTGGTACTTTGGTCAATGACAGACTACATATATGATGGTGGTCCCATAAGATTATAATGGAGTTGAAAAATTCCTATCACCTACTGAAGCCATCATATTGTAACAGTGCAACACATCACTCACCTGTTTGTGGTGATGCTGGTGTAAACAAAGGGCTGCCAGTCATAGCACATACAATTATGTGGAGTACATATTTGATAATGATGATAGATGACTATATTATTAGTATATTTATCATACTATACTTTTTATAGTTATTTTAGAGTGTACTCTTTCTACTTATTAAAAAAGTTCGCTGTAAAACATATGCCATGTTATACTGCCAGCAGCCTCATATATCCTGTGTTTATTGCATCTCTTGATTGCATATTTTCTTGTACTTGATTTAATCTCATGTTGTTTTGCTCATCAGGGCCCCTAAGCATTCAGACAACAATGAAATCACCTAATAATGCATTTCTCAAAACACATCCCTGTTGTTAAGTGATGCAAGTCCATATTAGTACTTCCAATCTCCAACTCTGTGCTTTAGAAATACATTTAGTTGGATATTCTGAAATTTTAATGACCTCTGTATACTCTTTCTCAGTTCTTCTGGAGTCATGCTTCTCTGAATCTAGCTTTGATGATAAAGTCCCAAACTCATCAACTTCCTTGCTCTTCTCTTTTCGTGGTAAAACTCCCAAACCCTGGGTAAATGGGAACCTTTTCTGTGGTATCTCGGAGTAAGTGGACCTTGCTGAAGAAAAGTCATCCAGCCACAGTGATTAGTAAATACATGAAACCAATGCCAACTGGATGCTCCATAGTGCCCAGTAACCCATTAAATTCTTCTAACAAGCTTGCTCTCTCACTGTCTGCAGGACTATGAACACCTACTCCATTCTCCAAGTCTCCAGTGTACCCTAGTCATGCCAGACCCTTTGAATTTTTGCAGTTCGCCTTCATGGAAGCCTCAGACAAGAAATCCCTGTCCTTTCTGCCCTTAAAGCCTACGTATTCATCCACTGTGCGCCATCTTTTCTGTCTCTTTTCTGATACAATAGAGAAAATATTTGTTTTCCTATTACTTTTGCTATGAATCTTTTCTCATCCCACTTTCTTAATAACCTCACTCCCAAAGTTATGTGCTTCCCCCTCATTCTTCATCTTCTCCTTCCAGAGTAGATCCTTCTCATCGGTTATTTAAATGTGTACTAGTCTCTCTCCTATGAAACTCACTCCAAACAGCCCTCCCCACATTGAGCAACATCCCCTTTCAACTCTCTCCCTATAAGCCTTCACCGCTCATCTTTCAAAACAATCACTACATACCCTGTCTCCATGTTTTTACCCTTTACTCTCCTTCCCATCAGGCTTCTCTCCTCACCATTCTACAGAATGGCTAAACCCAACCCATACTTTTCAACCTTCCTCTTATTTGACCTTGCAGCAGTTTCTGACACAGATGACCACTCTCTCCTCGAAACTATCTTCTTCTCTTGGCTCTGTGTCATTATCCTTTTTACTCTCTACTTCTCTAACCACAAAGTGACCTCTCTTGCTGATTCCTCATTTTCTAACCAACGCTTAAAAGTTGGAATTACTCATAGTTCAATTCTCAGTCTTTCTTGTTTCCCTCATTCCATATTTTACATCCAGGAGACCCAACTCATCTTCATGGCTTTAAATACCATTTATAGGCCCATGACTACCAAATTACATTTCAGCCACACACTTCTCTTTGATGCTCCAGGCTCAGCTACCTACATCAGACACCTCCATTTGTATATCTCACAGGCATCTAACTCTTAATGATTCAAACATCTCATCCTTCACATCTGCTCCTATTCCTGATCTTCCATCTGTGTAAAGGGTACCTCTATCCACCTAGCTGTTCATGCCAGAGGCTCTAACCCCTTCTTCCTCTTTCCACATCCAGTCCATCCCAAAGTCTCTTGACATCCCTTAAAATGTATCTGGATTTTTATCAACTTCACTTTATTTCTACTATCATCATCTTAGTCTAAGCCACTAATGTCTTTCACAGAGACCTTTGATAACACCATATTTACTTTTCTCACTTTCATCCTTAAGCCTACCCCCACCCATCATAGCATCCTGAAAAAGTTTAAGTCTTTAACTTTGCTTTTTCTTTTAAAAAAAAATTTAATGAAATTTATTGTGGTGATATTAGTTAATAAAATTATATAGGTTTCAAGGCTTTATTTTTTTTTCATGGCACTTATCACTTAGCATAGTGCTTCTAAGTGAATGTTAATAAACAAATATATCTAAATATTAATTGATATACTATTTAAAATATTTTGTAATACAAGGAGACAGAAAAAACAGTCATTGTGACATGAAAAAAAGAGATAGGGATGCTCTTTAGAAATATGCTGTTATAATTAATCATCCAAGTTCTTATGCATTTTCCCTTAAGTCTTTCAGTGCATACAAGAAAATAATGTTTAAATAAAAAGTTAGAGAGACCCTCATTACTTTTGATATTAACCACTGGCATGTGGTCACACTCAACCAAGATAGCAACCAAAGCTGGCAGAGAAAAGAAAATGCCTTTCCTAGTCAGTGTACAAGCTTGCCTTATGTAGGAGAAAGTTCAAGAAAAAAGGTGGATACTTATTTCCTTGAGCAGCAGTGCCATAGCCTTGAAGATATTTTTAAGTGTCCTATGAATGGTGATGCAAGAGCCTTTTATCTGTAGCTGAGGCCGATTTGCCTCAAGAATGTAGGTTAGTTGAAAAACTACATAGTCATGAAGGAATAAAAAGCCAAAAACTCATAGAGATATCACTGATTATAATTATAAGGCCTCTATTATTTGACCTTAAGAAATCAAGTTAAGATAACTTCTTTGCTTTCTGCTTTTCCTATTAGATGACAACTGGTTTTATACCTAAGAGAGAGATGGATATGTTTTCTAAAATCCAAAGACAATTAGATATAATGAGCACATAAATAGAATGGTGGGTTTCTAATTTTGATTCATCTTCACTCCCCATAAATCTTGGCCCCTCTAAGTAGAACCAAGTTTCTAGATCACCAGCCATAAGACTCCTAGTCCTATACCCCATGTCATGATGTAGAGTGTGTCATGTTAAAAAATATTTTGACACTATCTTCAGAAACCATACCTTGTAACATTTCTGAAGCTATTTAAGATTTATCTATAGCTATGATAATTTAAAACTGTACCTAAGATGTTCATTTAATATTTTGTTTAAATAATTTAGTTAAATAAAAATAAGCATACTTCCTAATTATTTAAATGGGAAAAATAATGATAGAGATTTATTTCATTTGCACAAATCACAGGAGAGATATTTTACCTTGTAAACTCCAGGACATTGAGCAATTCATATCTTTCTTCTTGCCCCAGCTATGAAGAAAAGGAATACGTAATTACACAAGTTGCAAATATCTTTGGCTTCTTGGAAATAAACCCTAGTTATAAAATTTTAATGTAAAAACTGTCAACACAAACAAATCGTCTCTTCTGAAATATATCATCTATAATTAAACTTATTAACTTCCAGGTTAAGACAGAAGATTAGCCATACATATTTAATTTCTGTCCTTCCCAAAGCCCCTCTAAAACTATAGTAAACACTTAAGAAGGAAAAAACTTGTTATGGCAGGAAAATAAGAAAAGAGACAACAGCACTAGAAATTTGGAAGCTAGAAAAGAGATCAATGAGTGGTATCTTACTTTGCAGATACAAGGCCAAATTCTACAGAAGCCATGGGAAGAGCTGAGAACCAATCAGATTTGTACCACATAATCCTTAAAACGCTTAAGAAGTGAAAAACTAGATAGCTCTAGAACTGTGAGGTAAAAGAGGGACTTAAAATGGGGAGGACTGGGTAAGAGCTACTTGAAAGCAGCTCTGAGAACTGAACCTTCTGGCACAGTGGCAGAAGACCAGAGGTTTTACTCTATAAAGGGCGAAATATAGGATCTTTTGTCTAGAAGTTGACCAGCACAGTTGAAGATATGGCATTGTTATATTCATATTAAATGCTGGGCCTCCAAACCCCCACCTACCCAGTTCCCTACATTGTGGCAGCCAGACTTTTCTAGGCAGAAATTCAAAGATTACTTTCTGGGGAATCCAATAAGCCCAAGAGAAGACCTAAAGGAACATATACTACATAATCCCCCCAGGCCACTCTAGAGTGAAGCTCAGTGTTGGCAAATACCCTCTTATGCGCAGAATGGTCATATCAGCTTTTAAGTTCCTCACTCTTAACCACAAGAATCCCAAAGGTTAACAGACGTCTAAGGAAAGCCATTAACATGGAACACAGACATCCAACACAAACAGCTAAAAGCAGCTAGAGGAAAGACAATTCAAAGATAAAACTTGATGCCGACCCATGGAGTTTCAGCTTCTGGGTTTCCTGATGGGCTCAGGGGGCTGGTGAGCAGGTCCTGGATGCCTCTTCGCTTAGTTTCAACACCAGATTAAAGTGGTTTGTCACATGCTTCACATGTGGCATTTTCTGTTCTATCATTGGAATTGCACTGCTATGGCTTCCTGATGACATAAAACTTTTTGCATGGTTTTATACTCTTGAAAATATTGTTAAATTAGCCAGTATATGCTTTTTAAGGGGACCCATGAAGAAAATGTTCAAAACAATAAGGTTGCTTGTAAAAATTATTATGTTTTTGTGATTAATATATATATCCAGTGTGCTACTCTTTGGTGGTATAGGAGATTGGCCTTATTATTCTATATAGTGCAGTTCTTATCAAAGACCTGGTATAGTCTATCATACATCCCACATGCAAGGGATGCAGTAAATGCTATTCTTTTCTCCTAAGTAGAAAATGAGAAACTTTGAAAAAGAACATTTGAAAGTTGATGTTTTTAAATTAAACTTCAAAAAACTATCATTCCTATCAGAAAACTAACATTAGTATGACATTCATGAAACAAGAACAGGATACTATTAAAAAAGAAATATTTAAAGAACGAAAAAAGCTTCTGGTCATCAAAAACATGATAGCGAAAATGAAAAAAAAATCAATAGAAGACTAAGAAGACAAAGCTGAAGAAAACTTCTAATAAGTAGAATAAAAAGGCAAAGATCTGAAAGCAGGAAAGATAAGTTAAAAGATTATTTCAAGAATTTTTTATTTTTATTTATTTATTAGTTTATTTAATTTATTTTATTAACACCTACAGCACCTGCTATTCCTACGTGGTTTCCCATCCAAGTACTAACCAGGCCCGTCTCTGCTTAGCTTCTGAGATCAGATGAGATCGGGGACATTCAGGGTGGCATGGCCGTAGACCAGTTCGAGAATTTAAAAGAGAGAACAGAGCAAAAAGAGGAAAGAAAAATGGAATCATTCAAGAAAAATTTCCAGAACTGAAGGATAGCATATCAATTTCCAAATGGAAAATGGTCCACCCAAAGTTCTGTATAATGGGTTAAAATAGTCCCACTAAGGCACACGATTATAAAATTTAAGAACTAGAACAAAAAAGATCCCCAGAGAGTGGGGATGGGGGGTGGAGGTAAGTCACAAAAGATATGGGATCACAGTGGCTTCTGATTTCTCAATTAAGTGTACTGGAAGCCAGAAGACAGTGGAACAATCAAAATTCTTAAGGAAAATGATTTCACCCTGGAATTCTATATTCAGCCAGATTATTAATTATTAAGTGTAATGGTAGGATAAAAGTGTTTAGACTTGAAAGGACTAAAAAGTAAATAACTCCACATGCATCATTTCTCAAGAAGCCACTAAAGAATGTGCTCCACAAAAACAAAAGAGTAAACAAAGAATGAGGAAGACATGAGATTTAAGAAACATAAGATCTAGCATAGGACAGATGTAAAGAAAGTCCCCAGGAAGATAGGAAATTGATTCCAGAGTGACAGCTGTGAGCAAGTTGTGACCTATGAACCAGTACATCATAGAGCCCTTAGAGTCAGGGGCTGGTTTGTTGAGGGCTATCGCTATTGTGTCCTCTGCTCTGCAACAGTTTTTTAACCTGATAAAATGGACAGATTATGTGTTCCATCAAAACTAAGAAAGAAGATTTAAGACACAGGAGTAGTGCAAAACAGGAGAAAATCAAAAGGAATTTCAAAATGGCATAGTGGCAGGCCTTAGAACAAAACTGGCCCAGACCAAGGAGAATGGAGGAATTCAAGAGGGATGTCTCAAGAATATAACTGTCAACTGATAGATCATTTGATACTAGTGTACTGAAAAAGTATGGGACAATTAGTAATAGATAAAAAGAAAATTAAGCAATTGAAAAAAGATTGGTATTTATCTTTAAGAAATAAAGAAAAAAATATTTTCAGGAAATAATTTTATGTCAGAAAACAAAATTAAAACAAGAGAATAATTACTGACTACAACAATGCTCAGCTATGAATACTGGTATGGGCATAATAAAATAAACAGTACAGAATTATTTTTAATGATATAATTTATAAACAATAAAGTACATGGACCTTAAATGTACAGTTTGATGAAAACTGTATAGTTTGATAAAGGCATATTTGGTGTAACCATCACCTCAATCAGGATACAGAACATTCTCATCACTCCATAAATTCCTTTGTGTCCTTTTTCAATCAATCTTCTCCCCGACCCCAAAGCAACCACTATTCCAAATTTTATCACCACAAATCATTTTTGCTTAATCTCAAGCCTCATATAAATGAAATTAAAGAGTATGCACTCCTTTGTGCCTGGTTTTCTTTTTGCTTAACATAATGTTTTTGAGATTTATCCATGCTGTTGATGAATCAATTATTCTTTCCATTTTATTGTTCAGATAACCCATTGTATGAGTACATCAAAATGTTTATCCATTGTCCTGTTGATGCACATTTGGTTTGTTTCCAGTTTTGGGCTACTGTGAATAAACTTGTGATGAACATGCCATTAGACATCTTTTTGTGTATAATACTTTCATTTCTCCTGGGAAACTACAAGTACAATCGCTGGGTCAGGTGCATGTTTATATGTTTTAGGAAACTCTAAAAGGTTTTCCAAAAGGATTGCATCGTGTTATACATCTACTAGCAATACCTGGGTGCTCCATTTGCTCTCTATTCTCAATGTTTTTAATTTTAGCCCTTTTGGTGGTATGCAGTGGTATTTCATTGTGATTTTCATTTTCATTTCCCTGATGATTAACAATGTTTTTTCATGTGTTCATTGAAAACGGGATCTTCTGAATACTTGTTTAACCAAAAATTGTAATATAATTACAATAACATTGGGAAAAGATGGTGAGTCACAAGAGATAAATCTTCACTTAACTAATAGAATAGAAAGTTAATAGATATGCCTGAAATTAAAAAATTAAAACATGTATCGTTAATCACACATTTTTTGAAAATATGCGTAAATGTCTGATAAAAGAGGTAAAAGAATAGAAAGTGGTTGCTTCTGGAGAGGTGAACTGGAGTAGGGAAAACCTCTATTTTATTAAGAGTCTTTTAGTAGTATGCATATTATCTCTGAGGCTATGCATATGTACTTTGATGCAAAAAACACAAAAATAAATAACTTACTGAATCTATAATCACTGAGTCAGGTGTTCTTCCAGTGAAAACAAAATTCAGTTGCTTAGCTGCTCGGACCAAGGCTCCCTCATCTGTTTTAGGAAAACAGGTGAAAGCAAATACATGGTGAAATAAAAATTATTCCCGATGCAAGAGAAATACATTACTATAATACAATTTACATCACAATGTCAAGGAATGAGTAGAATAATCTCAAGAATCTAAGATAGGTATAGACCTCAGAGTCATATTTCTGAAGAGTAAGTCTCAGTCACAAACAGGAAGGAAAATTTAAATGTACCCTTTAGGCCAGCATATTCTCCAGAATACTCTTTTTAAAATGAATGACACAAACTCCTTTCTTAAGTTTTATGCTTTTCCTTCTAAAACACTGGTTGTAAAAAAACTAATACTACTAATTGAGAATTCAATTTAAATGGATATAAATGAATTAATGCTTTATTGTATCACATATTATTTACCTAATCACCATGGTATAGCAAACCTTGTTGCTCAGGGTAGGGTGTGAGATAAAAGAACATTTACACAGTTTCTATTGCAACAATATATGATGTTGTTTTTCTTATACTTAGTAGAAATTTGATACATTTTACAAGTTCATAAGTGCTAGTTTAGAATATGGTTCAAAATATTTATAACAAAGTTCTGCAAAGTGTGTTCCTTCTTTCCTAAAATCTTACAATAATCAAATTGACTACCCAGTTTTACATTGAAAACAGGTCTAAAATTAAGCCTAAGTATTAAATACTGATAACTGTGCTAATATATATTTTATGGAATTCCTTCAAATGTGTAAACTGTTCTCATCCAAATAAATACACACCAAGCTCCTTGATTACCATTTCCAAAAGTGGAAAGCAAAATTGCTGTTTTAAAATGTATACTATTTAGGCAAACAGATTATTCTTTTTCTGTTTGCTTATGTGCAAAAACAGTTTATGACTAATAGTTTACTATTAGTTTTTTATAAAGAGAAATTATTATGTGACATATTACAAAAATTACATATCCAAAGTTTTACATTTTAACATATATATACACACAGACATATATATGTATACATATATTTACTTCTGAAAGCCAAGGTTTTTCTAATTACTAATTTTTTTGTCTAAGAAATATAACTTGGTTATTTTATTTTTCAAATTAAATTGATTTTTTTCTCGACAATATCAAATTTTAGAACAATTTTCCACCAAAAAACATATCACAATTGCTTCATTTGTACCTGGAGATGCTGCTTGATAAATAATCTTATCACCTTCTCGCTCTGGTACTGCTGTATGACAAACTGCCATCATTGTGAGAAATTCACATATTATAGGTGCAGTTGGCTGTAAGAAATAAACATAATTTAGTTCTTTTCATTTAAACATTTGACACTAATATTACTTTATGTCCATCTATTAAGAGTATGGCTGTTAAACATTGAAGGTGTGAGGTTACAGCCAACTAAGTAGCCAATATCTATTAAGAAGAAAAAATATTTTTAACTAAAATCATTTATTCTTGCACTCTCATTCATTTTCTAAATATTTATACATGGCAACATTGTGCTGTCAAATAGAAATAATATAGTAAAAAGGGTAGATATAGTAGATACTATCCTCAGAAGACATGAGAGAAATTCTAAAATGTTCATTTACCTGGCTCTAATTCCTGATCAGATTTAAATTTCAGGCACGTTATCTTGCTGTGGTTCCATTACTTTGGGTTGGAGTGATGATAGCAGGAGATTCCATTTTTGTTTTCCCTCTCTCCAAAAAAGGCAACCTTAACCTGATACATGTTTTACTAAATAAAAAAGAACTGACTGAGCAATTCCTATGTATAGTTGACTCTTACAGCCTAAGGAAGACATAGAAGTGAATCTTTTCTGCAAGGAACTTAGAGTTTATAGGAGAAGAGGAGCCAAATCTTTTAAACATCTGCCTGCCTGTCTGGCTCCTGATAAAAAAAAAAAAATGTCATTCAAATTAATAAAGAAAAAATATTCCTCTATGGTATTGGGCAAAAAAAAAAAAAAAAAAAAGAAAAAAATGAAGTGATTGAAGTGATGGAAAACTAAATCAGAACATTATTTGAAAAAACTGTGTTCAGGCTAGAGTAGACAAAACAGACATGGTCCCTGCCATGTGAAGTTTGACTTGTGGGGAAAACAGAACACAGATAAATACATAGTATTATTTATTTATAAAGTGAAAAGAAGAGAATGTGAAAATATCAAGTAATGTGATTTTGGTGAGATTGTGGTTGTTCTTAAGATGTGATATTTAAACTAATGAGATTTTAGCCTCATAAGGAACTGAGCAGAGAGTTTTCCAACAGGAACCAAACATGACTGAAAAGATCCTAAAGAAGGAAATAATGAAGCGTGTTTGAGAACAGAAAAGAAAGCCAGTGTGGCTTGAGGAGAGAAAGGTAGAGTGGCTCCATGTGAGGTTGGTGACTTAGGCATGGGCCAGATCATGTAACTTTGTAAGTTAAGAGGGAGGTAGCCAGAGAATGGTTTTAAACAAGGAAATGATGGGACTTGATTTCCATTTACATCACTGTAATTGTCTTGTGCAAAAAGAATTGTAAAGGAGTAAAAATGTAAACAAGGAGACTGGTTAGGAGGCTATTATGGTAATTTACATAGAGAATGCTGATAGTCTGGACTTGGGTAGTGAAAGTGAGAATGAAGTGAAGATGACATTCAGCATATATTCTAGAAGTTAATATTGACAGTATTTGATCTAGAGATGGAGAAGGAGGTATCAAAACAACCCTTAAGTTCCTAGAAAGAGTAATACAATAGGTGATGGTGTAATTTACTTAAACTGAGAACATAGAGGAAAGAGGTGGTCTAGGTTTTGTAGATCTTGAAGATAATATTTTGTTGAAACCTTTCTTAAGAAAAAATGGATACAAAATACCCATACGAACACATTGTTAGAGCTCCACCCGGAAGCACGGGTGGTGAGCCCATCTATACTACAGAGGGAGCATATTTTGGGGTAATGAGTTCAAGTTTTGACATACTGAGCCAGAAGTGATTGTAAGAAAAAATTCTGGGGTTTAAATTCCAGGAAACCCTATCATTTGATCTGATGGCATTTTAATAAGTGTCAGTAACTTCATAAGTGGAACGTTCACATTGGGTGGCAGATGTCGAGTTCTTATATAGATTTGGCAGTGGCCTAACATTTTGAACTGGTAATTCATTTCTACGGATATTTTTAAATTATTAATAATGAGTTGTTTCACAGAGTTCTAATATTATTTAACATAAACCATGTTGAAAAGATAGACTATTGATAATGATAATATTAAAAATAAATTTCTAATAACCAGGAATTCATGTTGGCTAAGTACAAACAATTTAGCAATAGATTTTGATAATTATTAAAAATAATCATAAAACTAAAAAAGTATAAATGTGGAAGATAATTCAGAGAAATACTTATTAGTTTTTACTCATTAATAAAAATATAATATTTTTATGTCACTTACATGATTATTTTGGAGATTTTCCAGCAATGATGAATCACTAAATGTTTTTTCATCTCCAAGCTGTGAGCTCTGCCTAAAGGCGGAAAAATGGAGCAAACCTGGTTCATTCATAGCAGCTGATCTATTTATAACGTTTAAAATAAATGATTATTCCTGCAAACCCTTAATGAATATAACATGGAAGTCATTTCTAAATAAGATATCATTCCTCTCATCTCTTTTCCCTCTGCCCTCCTTCATGGTCAGCCTCTTCTTTTGACTGGGTTCCTTGGTAGCCAATGGCTCTTAGGATTTGTAGTGACTAACACTACATGATGACTATATGCCATCAGAGCAAAAGAAAATTTCTCTTCCTCAAATCTTTCTCCTGAACTTCACTCTGATTGGCCCAACCCAGGTCACATGCCCTAGGTCACATGATTTAGATTAAGCCAATCAAGCTCTGACTTGGTCAATTTGACCGAAACCCATAGTCCTGCATTTGGAAAGGATGCTAGGGAGGCAAGTATCACTGAGAAGGTCTACAACATACACATTATTTCATTTAATCCTCCTAACAATCCCATGACATGTCAGTTTTTTTCTCTTATAGATGAAAAATAAATAAGACATTACAGATTTCATAATTGACCATAAATGCTATTTCAAGCATCTTAAAATGTGTGAAAAACTTCTGCAGTTTAATGAAAAATAGTATTTTATAGTTCATTTTCCTGGAGTGAAATTATATTGCAGCCATATGAAGTTTAAAAAAGTTAATTTAAAAAATGTAACAAAACTGCTAAAATACCTAGAATTGCATTTCTTCTACTTCCATAATTTTCTTGAGTTTTAAAAATTTTGAGGTTATTATAAAAAGTAATATTAATTCTTTTACTTTAGCCTATAAGATATCTTTATTTGTAGTGACTAACACTACATGATGATCATATGAAATATAAAAATATAAATAAACTGTTATACATTTTATTGCTAACAAATATCTGACATATACATATATTTGTTTTGTATATGTGGAGAATCATAAAAGTGTATGGGATTCTTCTGTGTTGTGGGTACCTTCAGATCAGTGAACATGTTATGTACTACACAAGAAACAAATGGAATCAGAATTGCCTTTGTAATCTAGCTTTTATTAATCTGACCATGCAATTTAATATAAAAATGTTGAGATTCAAAGGAAGAACAAGGAGGAATGTGAAACCTCAAAAATATACTTTGCAATATTCAGTGAAAATATATAGATTTAAGCTTTTGTGCACAGAAAAAAAAACCTCAGAATTAATTCACTGAGGAAAAAAATGTGTCTGATATTAAATAATTGTAATACAGAAAGTTTTTAATCACAATTTTTATAGGTTTCAAAGAGTATTATCAACGCCAATGTTCCAACTATTAGAACAATGTTCAAGAGTTTCATATTTTAAAGCCAGCATTTTAAAAGGAAGGAGAAATCACTGAAGAAAAAAAAAAAAGAATTGAGATAATTGAACATACGCAATATCATCAATGAAATATATTTTCCCATAAACTGGAGGAAGTTAGAATGTTTATAATAAAAGCATGTAGTAGTTTAATAATTCTCAAAATCATAATATAACACAACTTTATTAACATGTAGTAGTTTAGAATTCTCAAAACATCCCTGGGAAGCAGAATAAACACTATTATTATTATTATTATTATCATTTTTATTATTACCGCTTCTCTAGTTTTAAAGATGGAAAGAAAAATCTAAGAACTTTTAAATGACTGATCAACAGGCAGATAAAAAAAATAGCATACGTTTCTCCTCCAAACACTATTATTTCTTAAAAAATAGTTTATTATTTGGGCTCCATAAAATCTCCTTATTATTAAAATGTATTCATTAGTGATTCTTCCTACTTATTTGTTAGATTAATTGAAATGTCAAGAAATATTCACAGTAACATCTTGTATAAAGACGTCTATTTCCTTTCCAAAGAATTCCAGATTGTAAATCTGAAGATATGTCTTATTAATCTCATCGGCAATTCTTTCATTTATAAATCGGTTACCATGATTGATATAAATTTCAAATGCATTTATAGCAAATAACACTAGATATTCAATTGCAATATTTACATGGACACATCTCACTCTCCATTCACCAATGAAGACTTCCACAACAGATAAACGCTATGTAAGAACTCTTCTTCCAGAAAGTAGCTTCCCTTCCAAGAAAATAAAAACCATAAACAACTCATCTGCTAATCACAGAGCCTGAGTTGGATAACTCATCCATGGAGCTCTCACTGCCCCTCTCCAAAATCTTACAAAATGTTCACTGTTAGTAAAAGTAAACAGATAAAACTAGAAGGCTCATGTCATTTCAAAATAAGAACCAACTGCATTAAAAGTAAAATACTTTAAACTGCCAGTAGACAAAACTACACGAACTGCAAACTGCTCGCAAATAAAAATTCAAGGTGACATCATTTTGTCAAAATTTTTTATAGAAATTTTCTAGAGGCACTTTGCTCACAAAGGGACAAAAAAAAAAAATTACAGTTTTTCAAGAAGCTGTAAGGCAGGGAATGTAACATTAAGGTAAGGAGAACAACGGGCAGGTAGCCCACAACGTCTTTGAATTTGCAGCTTTTTGCAGGTTGATTTAAAAGCTATGATTTATAGAAATGATTATTTCCTGATCATACAAAAATGAAGAATTCTCATAGCAATAAAAATTAACAGACAATTCAGAGTGTATATGGCTTAACTGGTATTAGCTATTTTCATATATAACAGTACGGACTATGACATTTTGTAAAATTCAAAATTCATGTCAACATGAGGATTATCAGAAAAAAAAGTTGGGTCCATACTTTTCACCTTAAACTAAAATAAACTGCAGATGGATGAACAATTTAATAAAAGTACTAGAGATATGGGAAAATTTTTACAATAATAGGAGAGGAGTGGAAAAGGCCTAAGTGTCATACATAATTGAGAAAACAAATAGATAAATCTGACTGCATAAGCTGAAACATTTCTGCAGAGCAAAAACTACTGCAAAGTTAAAAGCCAAATGACCAACTGGGAAAAATGATTTTTGATTCATATGTAGAAAGTTAATTTCCATAAAATAATAAGAACTCACAGAAATCCATAAGAAAACAATGAAGTGTAACAAAGAGCAAAGGATATAAACACACGGTTCATAGAGAAGGAAATTTGATTGGCTTTAAATATAAATCCAACCTTATCCCATAATGAAATTAAATTTATCAATTTGACAGAAATAAAGTTTGACAATTGTGTGCTGTTGTGATTATGGAAAAGGTTAAATCAGAGAATGAAACTAGTTCAGCTTCTAAAAAGGGCAATTGAGCAATTTCTAACCACATTTAAAATGCACGTTTCCTTAATCCAGTACTTCCAGTTCTAGGAATTTATATCAGTTATCTATCTACCTGGTGCAAAATGCTGTATGTACAAATTCATTCATTACAGCTCATTTTTAATAGCAAATGATTAGAAATAACTCAAGTTCTATCAAGGATATTGCTTTTAAAAATGTAGTACATCCATGTAACAGAATACTATACAAAAAACAGTTGTTCTTCATGGAATATGAACAAATCTCAAAGCTGCACTGTCAAAAGAAAAGGTGGTACAAAACCGTGTGGTATGCTTCATTTTCTGTAACAGTATGAGTGAAAAAATATATGCATCTATAGATTTGAAAGGATACACTTGAAATTGGTTACACAGGCTGCCTTCAGGAGGAGAATAGCAGGCTTTAAGACAGGAAAGGGAAGAAATCTTCTCTTTACACATTATGAATTTGTAATATGCATTATAAACTTAAAAAATAAATCAAATTTAAATTAAAAATTAAAAACAAGAACAAAATCCATCTCAGCCACCTGAAATATATACACACCCTGTGTACAAACTAAATGTACACATTACACACATATACACACTATATACATGTACACACAAAGAAGACAAAAGGCAGTGTGATTGTAGAGCACCGTTTTTTGAAAGGGTCTGCATCTCCTGCTTTTAAATGGTGCTATTGGTTCCAAATCAAAATTCCTTAGAGGGTAACTTAATTTTTAAAAATACATTTGTTATTTAGAGTCAGGTCCAGTCAAGTTCAAGAATACAAACAAGTGACTGAATCCAATGATATATTTGTTGGATACTGGTTTTAACCAAAGTAATGAGACTTGTTTTTTTCATGTGGCTCATAGTATTTCCATAGGCAATTATAAAAGAGGAGTTCCAAAACATTCTCTGAAACAGCTGCCTCATTGGAATAAATAAATTACCTGTCAAATTGACTGCTTTGAAGACTAACACTAATTTGGATGCGATATATCTCATTACTACGCAGTCACACCTGGAAGAATTTTTTTAGGAGAGCCTAGCTGTTATAGCAGAATAAAGAAATACTACTCATTCCATATGTAATTATATACCAGAATGAAATGAGAAAATAAACAAGACCAGAAAATAGTACTATCCACTAATATTATGATAACATTAAAAATCACAGTGAAATGAGTAAGCACAGAACACTTTAAGGTAATCCTTCTGGGGGATCATCCTCACTAGCATTAACTTAAAAAAAAAAACTTATCAGAAAAAATAATGTGAACTATATTAAATGGTTAAGAAAAACAAAAATGTTATCTGGAATTTGCTTCAAAATAATAGTGAGGGGAAGGTACAGATTAATAGAAATTGGTATTGAGTACATACTATTGAAGTGATTGGATTGTACATTTGTCTTTTGTTTATACTTGAAATTTTCAATAATAAACATTACAAAAAATGGTCATGGAAATGAATAGTTTTGGAAAATAACCATATCTCAGGGCTACATGAGTGCTGAGAATAAGATTTTTTTCCTTCAATGATAGATTTTTAATAGAAAGAATTAATCTGTAAGGTTATATGTTAACTTATGGTACTTGGCAACAACAAAAGAGTATATCAACTTTGGTGTAAGTGGCTACTGGTTGGGAAATAATTTTATTTCTGTAAATTATTTATAATAATATATTTGCATAGAGCTACAGCCATTATACAATTATCTTT